GAGATCAACCATGATGGGATGCGTGAAGAGCTTGTTGCCCTCATCAACAACACCATCACCGCCTCCATGAACAACGCCCTTGAAGTTGTGAAAGAGCAAGTCCAGGCTGAGCTGGTCGGCGTGAAGGAGGAGATTGCAGACCTCAAGAGTGAGGTCACTCTCGTGAAGAGAGCCATGGCTAGCGGACCAGCCCCGGTGCAATCCGTCCCACGTGCTGATGTTCCAAGACCGAAGAACTTCGGAGGTTCAAGGAACGCGAGGGAGTTAGAGAACTTCCTTTGGAGTCTTGAGCAATACTTCAAGGCATCCGGCATCCAAGAGGATGAGGTAAAACTTCGTACCACTCCACTATACTTGGTCGATGTTGCAATGGTGTGGTGGAGGCGACGTGAAGCGGACGTCGAAAGAGGTACTTGTGTGATGGTAACGTGGGAAGATTTCAAGAGAGAAATCAAGAGGCAGTTCTACCCGGAGAACGTGGAATTTGAAGCCCGTTCGAAGTTGAGAAGACTCACCCAGAGGGGTGGCGTTCGAGAATACGTGAAAGAATTCTCGGAGCTGCTTCTAGAGATCCCGGACATCACGGACAAGGAGGCCATGCACGGCTTTCTTGATGGGCTGCAACCATGAGCCAAGATGGAGATGCAACGTCGAGGAGTGCAAGACCTTGCAACTGCCATGGCCACGGCGGAGTCTTTTGTCGAGTACAAAAGGCAAGAGAGCAGCGGCAAAGAGAAGAGTTCGAAGCCCAACAAGGGTGGAGAACAGCAGAAGCCTTTCAAGGAGGGCACTCGCGCTCAACAACACCAAGGTGGTTCGAGCAAAGGGGGTAAGTACGAGCCAAAACCCATGTCTTGCTTCCTTTGCGACGGACCACATCGAGTGCGGGATTGCCCAAGGAAGGCGAGATTGGCGGCCATGGAAGCTCAAGAGGAGGAGCCCAAGGCGGCGGAGGCCAAGATTGGCTCAATCCGCAAGCTTGGCGCGGCAAAGACCGACGTCAAGGAGAGCAAGCGTGGGAGGTGCTATGTTCTGGCGCAATTCATGCAAGGCGAGTCAAAAGCCTTGGTGGATACCGGTGCCACGGACAACTTCCTTCGCATCGAGGAGGCAAACCGGCTGGGTATTGCTTACGAGAAGGGGCAAGGGAGGCTCAAGACGATCAATTCGGAGTCCATCCCAATCCATGGAGTTGCTCACAACGTGCCAATGAAGCTCGGCGAGTGGGAAGGTCTCATCGAATTTTCCGTCGTCACCATGGACGATCACCCAGTCATCCTCGGCATCAACTTCCTCGACAAGGAGGGAGTGCTCTTGAAGCCCAACTCCAACACGATGTGCTTGGAGAAGGAGGGGGAGTTTCACACGATCCATCTCTTGAGAGAAGATGGTCCCCATAGTGCTTTATCGGCCATGCAAGTGTTGAAGGGGTTCAAGAAGAATGAACCAACCTTTCTTGTGTCCTTGAAAATGGAGGAAGAAGGAGGCTCAACGGGAATCACAACTCCCATCATCGAAGGCGTCCTCGAAGAATTCGATGACGTGATGCCATCGGAGTTGCCCAAGAAGCTGCCACCAAGAAGAGAGGTGGACCACAAGATCGAGTTGGAGCCAGGAGCGAAGCCCCCTTCGCGAGCACCATACCGCATGTCGCCACCGGAGCTAGAAGAGTTGCGGAGGCAGCTCAAGGACTTGGTGGACGCAGGCTACATGCGGCCATCGAAGTCACCTTTTGGAGCACCGGTGCTGTTCCAAAAGAAGAAGGAAGGGTCGTTGCGCATGTGCATCGACTATAGAGCCATCAACAAGTTGACGGTGAAGAACAAGTGGCCGATTCCCAACATTGGCGATCTGTTCGACCAGCTTGGAGATGCGATGTGGTTCACCAAGCTTGATCTTCGCTCGGGCTACTATCAAGTGCGGATAGCAGAGGGCGACGAGCCAAAGACAGCTTGTGTGACGAGGTATGGCTCTTACGAGTTTCTTGTGATGCCATTCGGTCTCACCAACGCACCAGCCACGTTTTGCACTTTGACGAATCAAGTGTTCGAGCCATTCTTGGACCGGTTTGTCGTGGTCTACTTGGATGACATCGTCGTGTATAGCAAAACACTCGACGAGCATGCCGAGCACCTACGCCAAGTCTTCCAAGTCCTTCGCGACAACGAGTTGTACGTCAAGAGGGAGAAGTGCACATTTGCCGCCACGGAGGTTCCATTCTTGGGGCACATCACTGGTGGAGGCAAGTTGAAGATGGATGGAGCGAAGGTGCAGGCAATCCAAGAATGGGAGCCGCCGACGAAGGTGCCAGAGTTGCGGTCATTCCTCGGCCTTGCCAATTACTATCGGAGGTTTATCAAGGGCTACTCCAACATTGCAGCACCCTTGACGGATCTCTTGAAGAAGAACAAGGCGTGGGATTGATCGGAAAGGTGCCAAGAAGCATTCGAGGCCTTGAAGCAAGCGGTGGTAAAGGAGCCCGTGCTTGTGCTCCCCAACCCAACGTTGGCCTACGAAGTGCAGACCGATGCATCTGACTTCGCGATTGGAGGAGTGTTGATGCAAGATGGGCATCCCATTGCCTTCGAGAGTCGGAAGCTTAGCGAGACGGAGAGGCGATACACCGTTCAAGAGAAGGAGATGACGGCCGTGGTGCATTGCTTGCGCACATGGAGGCACTACTTGTTGGGGTCAAAGTTCGTAGTGAAGACGGACAACGTGGCAACGAGCTACTTTCTTACGCAGAAGAAGCTCACCCCCAAGCAAGCGAGGTGGCAAGACTTTTTGGCCGAGTTCGACTTCGTCATGGAGTACAACCCAGGCAAGGCGAATTCTGTTGCCGATGCTCTTAGCCGCAAGAGTGCAGCCGCAAGCATCAGCCAGCCCATGTTTCCTTTGAAGGAGCGGATCGTTGAAGGCCTTGGCCATGACCCCTTCGCCAAAACCGTAGCGGAGTACATCGAGCAAGGCAAGACTCGACGGTTTTGGATGAAGGATGGGCTCATCATGACCAAGGGAGGGCGTGTGTTCGTGCCAAGGTGGGCCAACTTGAGGAAGGAGATCATGAAGGAGTGCCATGACTCCAAGTGGGCGGGCCATCCCGGCATCGAGAGAACGCAAGCGCTCATCGAAGAAGCATATTTCTGGCCGCGTATGAGAGACGACGTGGAGATGTATGTGAAGACTTGTCTTGTGTGCCAACAAGACAAGATGGAGCAGAGAAGCCCGGCAGGCTTGCTAGAGCCCTTGCCCACACCTCAACGCCCATGGGAGAGTGTAAGCATGGACTTCATCATCGGACTTCCCAAAGTCGATGGATGCGGTTGCATCATGGTTGTTGTGGACCGGTTTTCGAAGTATGGAGTGTTCGTCCCCGGCCCAAAAGACATGACGGCAGAGGATGCGGCGCGACTATTCTTCAAGAACGTGGTCAAGTATTGGGGCGTTCCTAGCAACATCGTGAGCGACAGAGATGGGCGCTTCACGGGCAGATTTTGGCGAGAGTTGTTCAAGATCATGGGCTCAGACTTGAACTTCTCGACGACATTTCATCCTCAAAGCGACGGACAGACGGAGCGGGTGAATGCCTTGTTGGAAGTGTACTTGCGTCACTACGTAAGTGCAAACCAACGAGATTGGGTGAAGTTGATGGACACGGCACAGTTCTCCTACAACTTGCACCGCAGCGAGTCGACCAACACGAGTCCATTTGAGTTGGCGACGGGGCAGCAACCTTTGACACCTACGACGGTGGCAACGGGGTATAGAGGCAACAGTCCGGCAGCCTACAAGTTCGCTAAAGGCTGGCACGAGAAGATGGAGATGGCCAAGTCTTACTTAGCCCGCGCTAGTAAGAAGATGAAGAAATGGGCGGACAAGAAGAGGCGGCACTTGGAATTCGAAGAGGGAGACATGGTGATGATCAAGTTCTACCCTCATCGCTTCAAGCATCTCAAGAATGTGCACAAGGGACTGCTTCGCCGCTATGAAGGGCCATTCCCCATCGTGAAGAGGATTGGCGCGGTGGCATACAAGGTTGAGTTGCCGACGCACTTGGAGATCCATCCGGTCTTTCATGTGAGCCAACTCAAGCCTTTCCACGAAGACAAGGATGATGAGCAACGAAGAGAGTCGCAGCGCGCTCCAACACTCATCACCAAGACACACGACCATGAAGTTGAAGAAGTCATGGCGCGTCGTGTCATTCCTCGTCGTGGCGTACATCCAAGCTTTGTGGAGTACTTGGTCAAGTGGCGCAACCTTCCGGAAAGTGAAGCAACTTGGGAGAAAGAGCTCACGCTTTGGAAGAACAAGGACTTGATCGAGGCATTCCATCAAGAGGACGCGACGAGGGCGTCGCGAGCATAGGTGGGGGAGGATGTCACATGTGGCCGATGACATGGCGCCAACAAGGTGACAACAAGGCTGCACATGTGTCATGCATGGAAGACTAGTAGCATAGAGATGCTCCTAGGATTCTCCACCTTAATAGAGAGCTTAATGGTGCACTTATTAGCTACATTATGGTAGTATTTATAGAGTGCATAATGGGGGGACTTAATGGGTGTATTGATGTAGTAGAGGGACATTATGAGGGGCATTGATGCCTTGTATGAGGAGAGGCCTATATAAGGAGCCATCTCCCTCACTTGTAACTCATTCCATCATTTTTGAGAGTAATACACACTAGAGAGTTCTCCCAATCCTTTGTCTTGAGTTCTTGTTCTTTGCTTTCAAGTGAGTTGAGAGAAAGGCTGCCTAGCGCTCTAACGGAATTGAGAGCTAGGGCCGCACGATCGAGAGTAAGGTCGTGACAGCGGGCATCGGATAGTGGCGATGTGCCCCCGATGCCATCCCTACCTCCAATCAATTAAATTTTTTATTTTTATGGTAAAAAATAAAGAATATAGAATAACATGTTGGAAAAGAAAAAAATAATAATAAACAAATTTAGCACGAAAACCAACTTAACCGTTCTTGCGTGTATGTGTTCTAGGTATCAGAAATTACCTTACCGAACCCTCCCAAGTCCCAGCCTCCCAGCCATAGAAAAGAATCTACTTGCCGACGTACGAACAGCAATTAGGGGAAATCATCAAACGAGTAGTCTTCTTTCTTCCTTCTTCACACCCTTCACTGCCTCTCCTTCAATCTCGCAACTGGCCGTCCGCTCTGTCTCCCCGTCAGGCTTCAAACCGCTCGTGGAAATGGTCTGCGACATTCATCTCTCTGCTAGGTTAGTCTATATACCGTTTAAAGATCGGAGCTTTCTCATTTGGGCTTCTTTGATTTGCCGTTGGAGTTTTGGGTTTACGCTTTCCTTTACCAATTTTGTATATATTCAAATGGAACGAGGGCGGGGGTGTCGTGCAAAGTATTTTACTACGCGATTTGGTGGATGGCCGATTGTTGAAAGAGGAGATTTGGGGTTGTTTTGGTCCTCTCAAGTTCTCGTCAACACTGTGGGGGAATCCTTCCATTTCTTTTACGGGAAGTTTTGTAGGTTTTCGCGTGTTTAGATTGAAGGCGCCGTTCGGTGTGTGCCAAGATTAATCTTACTCCTATTCTTTGGAAAGATTGTACGAATGGTTCCAACAAGTTCCTCTGATGCATTCTTTTCCATGCAATTGCTTTACTATAACTTTGTTTCTTTCCTTAGATTACCGTAGTAGATGATAGGCAATGGTGTTGATTGGGTATTGTTGGTGTTTGGCAGGTTTTGACGAAGAAGTCAGAAATGTTGGGAAAGAAAAGTTAGGTCTGATTTCACTGCACTACTATCTTTCGCTTTCTGCACATTTAGTTTCCTGCTCTTTACATTGTAGTGGGGGATGCTTCAACCGTTTAATGAGTGGGTATGCTCAAAAGTGGTCTGTGGAACTCTGGCTTGGGACGTGAAGAAAGGAACACTGAAGCCCAATGGAAGACTCACGAGGTCCACTTCTACCGACTAGCCACCAGGAATCTGGCCATTCTCAGAACAATGGGAGAGTTAATGTAGAAGGGTGGGGTAATCGTGGCGGCTCTTTGTTTCCTGGTTTGAGGAAAAGAGGGCATGGGCACGGGAGTCGTTCCTGGATAAAGATTGACCAGGATGGGGCGTCGAAGATTGTGGAGCTTGATAAGGCCACAATAATGAGACATTGTTCCCTTCCTTCTAGGGATTTGCGGCTGTTAGACCCTCTTTTCATTTATCCGTCTGCCATCCTAGGACGGGAGAAGGCTATTGTGGTGAACCTTGAACAGATTAGATGCATAATCACAGCTGAAGAAGTAATTTTGATGAATTCTCTGGATAATTCTGTTCTCCAGTATGAGGCTGAGTTCTGCAGGCGTCTTCAGAACAACAAGGATCAAGCTGGTAAATATATATTCCATTTCACTACGCAGCATTTTGATTAATGTTGCCAGCTTCTTCTCTGGGAGCATTAGTCTTGAATAACTTGCTTTGTTGCTGGTTCTACACAGAAGACTTGCCATTTGAGTTTGGAGCTCTAGAGTTAGCGCTGGAACTAACTTGTTCTTCCCTTGATGCTCAAGTATGTTCTATACATGATCGTTACCTTGGAAAGTACATTTTTTCCAGTTTTCAGTGGAAATTTTTTGTTGCCTTTGCCAGGCATTTGAGTTTACATCATTGAATGTACATGGCTTGTGGTTTGAAATGTTAAAAAATATATCTGGGTTCTTTTTTCAGAAGTCTGAACTCGTTTGTGACAGGTAAAAGAATTGGAAATGGAGATATACCCAGTACTGGACGAACTAGCTTCATCCATTAGTACCCTAAACTTGGAGCGTGTAAGGAGACTCAAAGGCCAACTCCTTGCTTTAACTCAGAGAGTCCAGAAGGTAAAACAAAATTTACGTTCCAAATGGTCAAAAGCTTGTTTGACTGTTTTATTTTCATTCCAGTAGTTTAGCTGCTGTTTGTTTCTTCTTTCATTGCATTTAGCTTGTTAGGTTGCAATTATAGGTCCACGACGAGATAGAGCAACTTATGGACGACGATGGAGACATGGCTGAGATGTATCTCACTGAGAAGAAACTGAGATCTGAAGCTTATGAGGCAGGTGACCTAGACTCTGAAAATGACATCTCCGAGCACACAAAAGGGGGTTCAAAATCAGCACCTTGTTCACCGATTAGGTCAGTTAGTGGTGTCCAAAAATTGCAGAGAGCATTTAGCAGTGTTGTTAATTCAAGTAGACACGGGAGTCTGAGTACTACGAGTAATGGTGATAACATTGTCGAACTTGAAATGCTGCTCGAGGCTTACTTTGTCGCCATTGATAATACCCTCAGCAAGTTATCCTCGGTGAGAAATCTACAAAACAAATCAAAGTTCGCAAGCAATAAGTGCAATTGTGTTCAGTCTATCTTAATTATTCTGCTCGTTTGATGCAGCACAAAGAATACATTGATGACACAGAAGATTTGATCAACATTAAACTGGTACGACATGGTTTATCTGACTTCCTTCCATGATGCTTTGACTGCAAACTAGATAAAAGCGACACATTTATAAGAGTTCTTGTTTATTTAAATGGACAGGGCAATATCCAGAACCAGCTCATTCAATTCGAGTTGCTTCTAACAGCAGCTACCTTCGTGGCCACAGTGTTTGCTGTAGTGACGGGAGTATTTGGGATGAATTTTGAAGACTCGGTTTTCGATAATCCATCGACATTTCATTGGGTCGTGATTGTGACAGGTCTCGGTTGTTGCATTATGTTCTTATCCTTCTTGTTCTACTTCAAGCACAAGAAAGTCTTCCCTGTATAGAACATTTCTGGGGTTAAACCTTCATTCAAAGACAATTATTTGTTACATTTGCATCTAGTTGATGATTATTCTCAAGTTTTTCAGCATTGGAGGTCTCAATATCTTAACTTTAGGTAAGTGGGTAAGTACGCACTCATTATTTATAAGATGCTGCTTATCAATAGAGGTTGCAGATACACTTTACATTCAGGATGCCAATGTTGTTCTTGGACATCAAGTCAGGATGTGTCTGTAATCCCTGAAGATTTGGTTCATCAGATGACCCTTCTGGAGCATAGTAAATAGTAATACATACAGGAAGAGTAAACGTAGCATTCGATGCACGAGAAAGAGCAGCCATGGCTGTTCTCTTCTATCGGGCGATGCTAGGCAGTGCTCCATAATCTTGTGCTGCTCTGTTTCTTCTCTCTGGTGATGTTCTGTGTCAGCAATGCAGGCCTGAACATTCCACAGTCTGTTTTGTACCTGGTTTGGTAAGAAAGCACGTTTTGTAAAGCAGCCTAGCAAAAGAAGGGCGAAGTTTGAGAACGTGCTAATGTTGAGCAAATACCAGAACTTGGCCCTGTTCTCTGCTGGGACATAGAACATGGTCTGAGCTAGAACTCCACATTCTCCCTCAGAATCCAATGTCCATGCTTGATCCTCTGTTGGGCCCAGTCACGTTCATAGTTCCCGCTGGTTGTAGGAAAATTCTTGCTCATCAATGTTTGAAACTGGAGCCGTTAAAATCTGACCCTATTCAATCAATCCGCTCAATCCTTAACCCGACTTGACTCTCCATTCTTATTGATTTTAGCGCCAATTGATTTGAACGCTAATCAAATTTGATCCAACTTATCTAACATACACATATAAATACCTAAAACTACTGAAATCTACACATTATTCATATAGGTCAATTTGTTGAATACGCGGACAACAAGTGATTCACGTACTTCATTAACTATGCAAGAAGTAAAGTTACCTGAGAATCTAATCTCCCAAAACGAATATTCCTTTTTGTTGCATCTACTCTTATTCTTTCTTTTAAGTTTGTGTTTTGACATATTGGAAAATTAATCAGACCAATCGATACTTTTGTAAATGAAATATCAAACAACCCCTATGTAAGAATACAACAAAATTCATGGTCTGTGATGTGCCTCTCATTCATAGAAATACAGCAAAACGAAAAGGAATGAAGATTGACAAATTAACTTGTTTATCACGTCATTGATATTCATACGTACACAACACTTATATTAAAATATAATTTGACAATAATAATATTCATTCTCATAACTGTACAGCCATACGGCATCTACATCAGGGCGGAATCGGAATTATTAGGTATAACACAGCGAAACAGCCGCCGGCGGGTGGCCCGCCGTCCCCTTGTGCCGCTCCCGAGTAGCTCCGACCGTGAAGGAGGAAGAACTGCAACGCTGGTGGTGATGATCCGACTCCAGGAAAGCTCCGGCCGAGACGCACCGCTGGTGATGCCCTGATCCGCTGCTGCCGTTATTCTCCGATTTGGTGGGTGGCTGCTCGGTGACTTGGCCGTCGTTGTCGGCGGAGAGGCATTGGTAGCGGCGGCGAGTGTTGTATTTCTTGAGCGCTCGGTAAGCCATGGGAATGAGGCCGTCCATGGTGACTCCGGAAGCTGAACGAAAGAGATAGAGAGTGGAAGCAAATATCGATATGGGTTGCTTTTGCTTCGTGAAGAAAGTAAGGACGTTGTAGACTTGTAGTTGGATATAGTATAGTTACCTAAAGGGTCTATATATGGTGTTACGATCATTCATGAGTCCATTACTAATAAGGAAACGGATTAACTTGACCAAAATGAGTTCGGAAAAAGGATTAATTAAGCATTATTAAAATCCTAATCATCGCAGGAATAGTGAATACTTAAAACCTAAACTAATAAGGATTAAGACTATTGGATCGTGTAATTTACTACATAATATTTACGATTTTTACCGTTCAAGATAGAGTGCATAATTATGAGTAACCAAATATATACCCTTTTTTTAAGTGGCTGCAGATCTAATGGTGGAGAATTAAAGAAATTTATTTTTCCTAGTCTTCTTTATTGGATCATATCTTCTTCACTCTAACTCGGATTTCAAATTTTTTTTTTTTTGCATAGATGGAATGAGTTCGTTGTGCTCTACAAAATGATATCCGTTTTCAATATTTTTTAAATCTCTTTACCAACTCCATAGTATATGGTATCTCCTTCGTTTTTAGTCGTTTTCGGAAATTTTTGCACAGAAGGAATGATTTAATCATGATCTATTGGATTTCAAAAAAATTTGAGTGAAAAAATTTCATACCTCTCGTTACCAACTCCATACCATACTATACCACCCTGATATAGGCCAGGGGGTGGTATTTTTCATACCATATGATATGCTTTTATTTAATACTAGTCAAATACCATATGGTATAGACTGGTAATAACCGGCAAATTTTTTTGTTCCAAAAAATATCAAAGTGGATATCATTTTGAAGAGCACAATTTATCTGATATAACTGTGCAAAAAAATTTAAATTCCGACTTAAAACAAGTGAGAAATCATCCGTTAAAGATTAAGAGAAGGAAAATTAAAAAAATTTCGAGGAGAGAGAAGGAGGCGCTAATGTGGCGGATTCTTATTGGATTATGCATGGAGTTATTGCACCGACCGTGCCAATTTCACAGTATGGGGCTTGAGTTCATGGTCTTAGTGACCGTGAACTCACTGGGATCCCGCGAGGTGTGCATTTATTTTTGGAATTTGGCCACTTCACGGTCTGGGGTGATTATCACGGTTTTGGGACCGTGGTAAATGAGTCCTGCCCTTGAAGTCTTAATCTTCACTCCCTGGGGGTGATTTTCACGGTCCAAGGGCGTGACATTTGCCTCCAGCCCGTGAACAGTGCTCAGCCTCAACTTTTTGGCTCGTTTTGACCTCCGAATGACCCGAAACTTGTCTCGGACCTTCCCATATGTACTAGGACCTAAAATGTGACAAAAGAAACAAAACCTAGCGTAAAATAGGTCAAGGGACGACGATCTACTAAGCAAAACGAACAAGAAATGAGGGGTAAAAAAAATGCACAATTGGACCTGAATCACACCCCCACACTTGAACGTTTGTTTGTCCACAAGCAAACCAAGTACAAAACAAATTAAGCTTACAACTTCTTTTCAACAAAATTTTTGAGGCATATCATAGGGCACAAAAGAAACGAATCTCAATGATTATTTCGACATCGACCTATGGACAAAAATAAGGTAATCATGGCGACCACAAACGACATTCAACTGTATTAAGATTGTGCAAATAAAGAGTTCTCACATTATTGATCAACCAACACATAAACTGTTTCGACGGCTCCCCAATCACAATCACTCATGCATGAAGATAACATCATAGGAACGAACGATCGAGCAACCTACGTCCCTTTACCATGACGGTAATCTCTAAATGTTAGAGCTCACAAGATGGGTGTCGTTGCTAGCTTGTCCGGATGACTTAAACATGGGTTCAAATGACTGGCTAGGGTCCAGGACATGGGGAAAAGGCCATTTGGGTGGTGGCACACATAACATGAGGTTCCACATCTTCAACCTAAAACCAAAATAAGGTTCTATGGTTTCGACTAGAACCTTATTCTACAAGCAATGGCCACTAGCATCGGCCAAATACCACACTTCTCTCCATTCCAAACCACAATCAATCACCAAACCATGTCACACATATTTCCTTTCTACATTTGCTAGTGAATTTCAAGTACAAGAGCATGTCAAGAAACACTTCTAAGAGCATGTCCAACATTTATTATATTTTTGGTGGCCGCTCTATTTTCTTCTTTGCCCTTTTATTGATTTATTTTTCTTTCTTTTCCTTTTCTTTACTCTTTTCTTTGAGGGCTATAGAGAGCTATATACACATGCCACATTTTTTTTTTACTTAAGGAATAATGCTCACTTTTACGAACTACCTCCACACTCCACAATCTTAGCAAAACCATACACAAATCACTCACGTTGAACCTTATTTAAGCTCAAACGATACAAATGGAGCTTCTGAACACAAGGGTGACTCGATACGGTGTAGACACGAAGAAAGTAGGGTCTCTCTATCTAAATCAATCAAGCTTAAGTAGCAAAAGCTACCTAACATGAGAATGACCCTTAGACACACGGCTCAAAAGGGGTTGACTAAAGGATAATACGATCGGGTCGGTCAACTTTTGGGTCGTGGGCTAATCCTATGCCTCCATCCACTACAAGAAAACAGGGGTTTAGTGTCGGTTGTCTTGTGTCGGTTCATTTAACCGACACTAAAAACCTATTTGCGTCGATGATTTGTGTTGGTTACACAACCGACACAATTATTTGAAACTTTAAGTCGGTTAAGGTGAACCGACACAATTTTTAGGTGATTGATGTCGGTTTAGGCTCTAACCGACACGATCTTAAGCCAATTCTTGTCGGTTTAAGGTTTAACCGACACTATTTTCATTCGATTTTGAATTTTGAACGAAATATCTATGGCTCCAAGAAATTCAATCAAGCGCCCAAATTTCCCCCTTATTATTTCAATTTTCAACTTCTTCTGGTCACATCCCCATCTACCCATCTCCATCTTCTCACGCCTCTCAAGTCTCACCCAAAGCCCCTCTTTTTCTTCTTCTTCTTCTTCCGCAGAGAACCAGGCGAAGAGACCTCCGCCGCTACGATTCTTCCTCCTCCTCAACAACCAAGCTTCCCTCCCCCACCACCCAATTCCCCACGCCTTGGAGAAGGAGCAAACGCCATCAATTTTTAAATTTTGCGGCTTTCGATTGATGGGTTCTGTCATTCGATTTAGTTAGTGACGAAGTAGAGATGAGCTGCCAACGTTGCCGCTTCCTTTTTTCACGCCACGCGGTCCGATCCTGCCAGCAACGATGAAGTGGAGATGAGCCGCCAACGTCGCCACTTCCTCTTTTCACGCTGGCGGTCCAATTCGGCGCGACGAAGCGAGAGGGTTGAATTTGCTAGGTTTGGGGATTGTCTTTGTCGGATGGGGATGAGATTGGATTTTTTGGCAGGGATTTGGTTCAAGAGTCTGATCTAGCTAGAGACCAGAAGCATCGGTGGAGAAGCCCTACTTTTCTTCTGTCTGTCGGCGGTGCTCGTGGTTCTCAGTTCTGCGTCGA